TGAGCAAGAATCATGGAAGTTGATGCAAATTATTTGCTTTTACCGGCCATAAAAAAAAAAAAAAAAGATGTAGCGGGCCAGTTGTAGTCCCCGAGAGTTGAATTTGACACCTCCGGCCTACAGCATTCACTCAAAGATCCACATTTAACAGTTTGGTTACACATGACATTAAAACTGTTAGCATGTGTGCAGCCCAAAAAGTAAAGAGCCATAGAAAAATCTCAATTACCGCAACGTTCTTTCTCATGTTAGACGTTGTGCTTTGCTAAGCTGAAATGTCCACATTTGGGCAGAACAGATGCTGCATCCTCCGAAGGCCAAATTTGAAGGCCAAGTGATGTAACTTCCAGTGCGCCTCGACCGCATGCCGTTGTTCTAATTCACGCAGTCTTGGAATCTGGCCTTTTTTTTCCATGGAGAAGGGCCTTGAACGAAGGCTGCTTCAAGCACACTTTCGTAGCCTCCTTTGCTCGGCTCTTTTTCGACACTTTCTATCAGCCGAGCATACTGCCGCCATCTTAAGGTGGTATAGAAGACAGTCAAGTGAGAGTCACCAGGCCTGTCCAAATTGGCCAGTCGGCCATGGTTTATGCAGTCTACACGAGGAGGAGCTTGAGTCGTCGGAGGACGCAACCTACGAACTTGGACACGGCTAATGACGGCAGATCTATTCTGAAATGGTTATTTTTCAAACACCTAAATGTAATTATTAGCCTAATGTGAGGCCAGGGGTATTCTTGTTGAAACTGAGTATTGCATGCTGATGTATCCTTCACTTTTTCTGCTATTTTTCACGGAAATGAGGCATGGAAGATGGTGAGAGTGGAGGAGCGTGAATGCACAATTTTGGTTGGACAGGTGTCAGAAGAGTGGATAAGGATCGCCAACCAGCATGGTAAGTGCTAATTACAATATAATACAATACATCCTGATTTATATAGCGCTTTCACAACAGCTACAGCTGTAACAAAGCGCTTTAAAACACAGTTAACATCAAGTTAAATAAGAAACACAACACGTGACATAAAACCAAGGACAGTTGTGCAATCTGAACCACTCTTCTCTCATTCGCTTGGTTGTCTGAAGCAGTTTGAGATGAATGAGGAGAGAATCAAAGTGACAGGTTGTTTCGGTCTCAAGCCTTCAAATCAAATCCAGTTGCTTGGCCCGCGTTTTGAATTATCAGTCACTCATCAGTCTGTTCATTTTTTTTTGTTTTGTTTTTGGCGGAGTCGAGAAATTCCTCGATGTTTCCATTAACTGAATCCATCATTTCCTTAAATGTTTGATGTTCAGTGACTACGAACTGCCGGGGAAAAGAGTGGTTCTAAACAAGTCATTTCAAAATGATACCTTGCCCCAGTTTGGTGGTATTTGTCAACAACAAATAGCTTAATTTTTACAAGAACGTTATTCTGCTTTGTATTTCTACATATCATTTATTAAAGAAACGATTTAAACGGGGTTGGCCCGGTGGTTCAATGGTTAGCGCGTTGACCTCACAGTGCAGCGGTGCAGGGTTCGGCTCCGGCCTCCCTGTGTGGAGTTTGCATGTTCTCGCCGTGCCTGTGTGGTTTTTCTCCGGGTGCTCCGGTTTCCTCCCACATTCCAAAAACATGCATGGCAGGTTAATGGAACACTCAAAATTGTCCCGAGGTGTGAGTGTGAGCGCGGATGGTTGTTCGTCTCCGTGTGCCCTGCGATTGGCTGGCAAGCGGTTCAGGGTGTCCCCCGCCAACTGCCCGAAGACAGCTGGGATAGGCTCCAGCACCCCCCGCCACCCTTGTGACGATAAAGCGGATCGGAAAATGGATGGATGGATGGAATTTCGTGGGAGCCAAAGTTTTCAACTGCAACTGTTTCTTATCACGTCAAAAAAATGTTCTCAGCACCCTTCCACTTGGAATAGAATCCCCCCTCCTTGACATGCTGCTATAGCGTCTCCTCTGCAGGAGTTCTGCGAATTCAAAAGTTTGAAACATGCTTGCCGCTGAGGCGGGACTTCGCCAGTGGCTTTCGTAATTCTCGAGATGTCACGTATGGCCTCCAGGGAGGTTTAACTCGTGAAATTGCGAGTAAAAGATGAGCTAAGTGCACGTTTTAATTAATGCAAGAACACTCTATCTTTCATCCCCAGCAGGGTATTCGGTGTTGACGCGGCATCGCGCAGCAGGGCTCAACACGGAAAACATCCACTCACACGCTCCTTGACACGCTTCGCCAGAACTTACGCAAGAGTGAAGGGCTTGATGAAAGATTGAGCAACCAAATGAGGTGGTCGCCGGAGTGAAGGACGGAGGTTGAGGAGTCGGGGGAACTCCCAGAGTGTCTGAAGAACAGTTTTGTATTCAGAAAAGTCATTTACTATTCCAGCGCTTTACCAATAGCAGTGATCCAGTTGGAAGCTGAAGTTCATTTCACATCTCTGTTGGATGCGTACTTGCCAATTTCACTGGCTAATTTCGGAAATTATGACCCATAAGTAAACAAAAAGTTACATGGATGCTGATGGTCCTCCCAAAAAAAAAACGAAAACAGTAAAATCTAGTTTGTCCAACTTACAACCACCAACTGTATTTTCTTTGGCCTTTTTTTTTTTTTTTTTTTTGCCAAATTGGCTCAGGTTAAGGCTGGAGTAGGTGAAACAAAGTACATCCATAATTTTACATTGACATAAGCGTCATTTCAAACAAGCCCTGTCAGAATCTAAGTACTATTGTCCGGCGTCGTGTCAGTTTAGAGATGATCGCCTTTTGCCAGGTGAATGATTGAGGAGAAATGTTGATTCCTACTTCCTGTTTTTGTTGCCTCTTCCTGTTAGCTATAAGGAATTACAGTTGCTAAAGACCAACTTTTACTGAAAAGAATGATTTGGATCTCTGATGATGATGGTGGTGGTGGGGGTGTTGCAATCAGGTAAGGTGTCAATTTCTTCCTAGTCGCTTGGGCTCTAGCTCTGGTGCATGCTTATCACTTATAAAGGGTATTTTTTTTTTTGTAACATCAACCGCCGCTGTTTACGGAGCATAGGGACCTCCACGGCCCGCAAATAGTGACAATTTGCATGTAATTGACATGCACATTGGAATGCAGGGGGGCGTAAAACAAAATTAAATTCTTCGACCAAAAAAAGACAACAAAAACAATGAATCACATTCAAAATACATTTTCCACGAAAACATGGGGAAACTAAAGATGGGTGGAGGGGGGACAAAAAACACTAATATTTAGAGGTAAATGGAAAAAAAACCCTGAAAAATAAACCATGAATATGCAAATCCCTGGATGCTGAACCCCGAGGATGCGTCGACTGCCGAGTCATCCCCGTCCATTTTAGTTCTAGATTCTAGGTCAATGGTTTTTGTCCAGTTAACCAATTCTAACGCTTATCTATTTAGATTGTAATTCCACTCTTGACCACGAGATGGGAACACACAATTTACTTTGAGAGAGCGTAAATTTGAAAGAATACAGTAGCATGAAGTTATCAGCACAGCATAGGTTTTTGTTTTTTTGGTCAAATTATTGTCATTCCGTGTATTTTTACTTTTCAAACTTCAACGAGACAGTTATACTTGATTTTGTAATGTACAGCTTTGGTTGTTGACGTATATTGGTTGCTGTTAAGTTTGTTGGTTTGAAAAATACACGTTATCCGAACAAACTATTTTAAATTTATTTTTTTTATTGAACGTCATCTGCATTAAACATGCTATTGAAGACATGGAAAAAACAATGACTGTAGGTTCGTTTTGGACTGGACATCTTTGGGCATGATTATTGATGTATATTGTGAGATAAGTTTGGTAGTTTAAAACAGGACTTATTTACTGTAAACACAGAGATTGCTGCACATTTTTTTTAAATCCATCTCTTGCCATCAATGTATAATGTGTTTGTGTTTTTCAAGACCTTAAAAAAACTGTAAAACGCTATCAAAAACATGCGTAGGATATTTCCATATCATAGATTTCACCTTGTCTTTT